ATAATTCGACTAATTGATTTTTATTTTTTTTTAATTCATGTATATAGCTATTGCTTTCTAGTTCCTTTTCTGTTTAATTTTTTTCGGCTTGTATGAATTAATTTGGTTTGACTTCCGAGATTACCAATGTGATCTTTATTAAACGATATATCTGTGTGTGTGTCTATATATATATATATATATGAGATGTAGATACAAAATTTGTGATTAAAATTAAATTTTGATTTTTAAAGGTAAATTTTAAATTAATTTCTTTAGATTTACCTAACATAGGCGATATTTCAAATTAACATCGATTGATTTTCCTTTGCCAAATTTAACAGAATATCTATGGGAAATGTTATTGGCATAATGTTTGTACAACTAGAAAATGAAATTGTTAAGTAATAACACGTTTAATAATTTACATTTAATTTAAATCAATGTTGACTCGGCATACATATGGGAAAATCCCCAAATCCAATGACCTTGAAATAGGTTGAGAACGAAAAGTAAAAAATATGTTAAAAGTACAACAATTGAGAGTAGAATTAACAAGTGATCACCCGAAGTGAATATATCGACATGCCTAAATAAATGGGCTTTTAAATATTTAGTCCCTTTTTAATGTTGATTTAAATCGGCTTTTAGTTTAAATCAAAGTCAAACAATCAATATTAATCACATCTTTTATGAGTTCTACAACTTTTTTTCCCTACATTCTAAAATTTTTATCAAAATCTACTTCTAATTTTAATCCCCACTAAACAGGGGCTTAATATTTCATTGAAAAGACAAATTATACACTTACCTTTAGTTAAAATAAAAATGAAATAAATGGATATATAGCACCATTTATCTTCAACCTATGGACCTTCTTACAACTTGGTCCTCCAAATTATTTTTCTTGATTGTACCTTCCTCAACTTTTTAGATTTTCAACATTGTTGATCCCCCGATAGATCGGACCAAGTTGAAACAAGGTCTATAAGTTGGAGACCAAGTTACCTATAGAAATTTCCGAAGAGACTTAAGACTTGGTACCAAAGTTGCAAGAAGTTCTAAAGATTGAGATAATGCTACTTTTTTTTTTTTTCTCTTTTATAGTTTTTTTCTTTGTTCTTTGTTTTTTTTTTAAAAAATTTCTTATGAATTAAAAACAACAGTATAATAGTCTTTTTAATACAATTTTTTCAGTAGTTAAATAACTGAAGTCTTTCTATAGAGATCAACAATACTACAAAGCAGAAATGACAAGATATAATCAGAAATAGACCAAAAGGAAAAGAAAAA